ATAGAAATAAAAAAAAAATATATATATATATATATATGTATGTGTGTGTGTGTGTGTGTGTATACACAAACACACTTATAAAACAGAATACTTACTCAGCCATAAAAAGAATGAAATCTTGTCATTTGGGACAACATGGATGGACCTTGAGGATATTATGCTAAGTGAAGTAAGTGAGAGGAAGGCAAATACCATATGATCTCACTTTATGTGGAATACATAACAAGCTCAGAGATACAGAGAACAACAGATTTGGAGGTTGCAAGGTGGCAAAATAGGTCTTAAGGGTCACGAGGTACAAATTACCAGTTATAAAATAAGTTATGGGGTTAAGGTACAGCAGGAGGAGTACAGCTAATAATACTGTACTGCATATTTGAAAGTTGCTAAGAGTAAATCTTAAAAGTTCTCATCACAAGAAAAATCAATTTCCGAACTATGTATCATGATGGAAGTTAACTAGATTTATGGTGATCATTTTGCAATACATAAGAATATCGAACCATTACGTTGTATACCTGAAACTAATACGATGTCCTAAGTCAATTACCCCTCAACAGAAAACCGAAAATTTAAGAAGAGAAGCACCAGCAGATGGAGTCTCACTGAGAGCCCCCAGGAAGACATGCAGGCTGCCGACACCGAACTTGTGACTTACAGATCTAGGAGATCATCAGTTGTTTTATTAAGCCACAAAGTTCGTGGCAACTTGTAATAGCAGCAATAGCTAGTTAACACACCAAGCCTCGAGAGAGACTGAAGAAGTTAAACTGATAGATGGGCTGGGCGGGCAGCTCTTTGAAAACAGAACAGAAATCTGGCTCTACAGAAGGAAATACCTAGAAACACCTAGCTAAGATAATGTAGGCTTATTCATCAAATGCAGGGATATAAGAACTGGGTGAGAACCATATAAAATGGAAAATGGTTAAATAAAGAAAAGGCAGTATCACTCGGGAGAATGATACTGGGCATGGGGAAACAGACTGGGGCACTGCCGTCAAGGAGGTGAACCACAGTTGAGTAGTAACATGTAAGCGTCAGATGTCTGCAAGGATTTATGGGTAAGAATGTTTAGGACAGCATTATTTAGAGAGTAATATATTTTGGTACATTCATTAACGAATGGTAATATAAATTGCTGTGAAAAAAAACAAACCACAAAAACACCACACAGATTGCTGTGGGAAAATGCCCCCAATAAATAGAAAAACGACGCTATAAAACAGTGTGCTCTACTTTATGAACAAAATACTTACGTGTAGAAAAAACTGGAAGGAAACTTCTCAAAACGTTAAATGTTTACTGGGTAATAAAATTATACAAATTTTCCTTTCTTTAAAAATACTTTCCAAGTTGACTGTACTAAGTATGTAATTAGGAACAAATCTAATAAAAAATTTTAAAGCATATCTGTACTGTTTGACATAGCAGATCATAAACTACTGGGATTTATTACTTTGAGAGGAGGTATGGGGTGGAAACATAATTAGGTAAGAAGAAACTTTAGACTTTTGAAGGCAGATTTAACTTTGGAAGATGAGGGTTATCACCAGGGTGGGACGCTGTATGGCCGCGAGCGAGTATAGTACTTCCTTGGGTGCAGAATTTAAGAGGGCAATGAAACTGAGTCATCAAGACAAATATTCTAACACAACGCTGTCAAAACACAAAATTAATGCCAAGAGTCCATGATGCACAAAATGTCAATATTTTAAATAAACACACGATCGGTACCTGACCCATGATGGATAAAATGGACCACATTCCAACAATTATTTTCTCAGGCGGTTGGTTCTCAGTGTGGTCCTGGGCCAAGCAGTGCCAGTGCCCCTGGGAACTCGCTAGGAACACTGACCCTCAGGTCCCAGTGCAGGCGACTGACCTGGGACTCTGGGGTGGAGCCCAGCTACCAAAACCCTAAGCAACAGATAGGAGGTACTGACCACAATGTTGACAGAAAATGTCTATTACACTGGCTTGCTCAGGCAACCTCCAGTGAGCATTTGCCATGTGCTGAGCTTGGGGGCACGCATTACCTCATTTTCCAGAGGAGAAAACTGAGCTTGAGCTGGGTTAGGTCGCTGGCAAGGACATGGCAGAACAAAGCTGGAATGCAGATCGGTCTGGCTCTAACATCTGACTTTTTAGCGCCTGTGCAAACACTGATGCAGGTGGCCAAGGGCACAGAAGCAGAAGAACCTGATGCCCGAGCTTACCTTCCGACTCCGACTCCTCTTCATCTTCTTCCTCCTCCTCTTCATTGCTTTCGTCCTCGCTCTCCTCCTCTTTGGCAATTTTCTGCCGAGCGCTCTTAAACACCGACTGTAAGACGATGGAGTCTTCGTAGATCTAAAGTCAAAGTGGCATCTGTTAGCAATGACAAGCTGAGGGCCGAAGATTCACAATTGCGGTGGGCGCTTCTTCCTCGTGAAGCACACCAGCTTCGCTTTACATGGATTTTACTAGAAACATCAATGCCAGCTTTTATGCCGACAGGATAATCAAATAGGGAAAAGCCCACATGTTCTTAGAGAAAAAAGTCCATATGCAGTTGAAATAATTTTAGTGTGTATGTGTCTGTGTATTTCTGTGTGTGTGTGTGTGTGTGTGTGTGTGTGTGTACAGGCGCGCACCTGGGAGAGAAGGGTGGACTTCTGTAACAAATCCTCTCATCTTTGACAATAAAAGTAGTTTAAAAAACTCTTCTTATTTGAATTGGTCTATCAAATAGTGTGGCAAAGCAACCTTCTTTAAAATGCAGTTCCCCTAACAAAATGGAAGCTATTCCTTATTACTGAGCTTATCAGTACCAGCCAATACTATTTTAATCAATACTTTATTGTTAGTGTACCCGCATACCTGAGCATAGCCCTGTAGCTGCTGAGAGATATGAACTTCTGAAATGTTCCTTTTTCCCCCCACAAAAAAATTTAAAATAGAAGTACCATATATCTAGCAATCCCACTTATAGGTATACAGCTGTAAGAATTGAAAGCAAGGACTTGGAGAGAGATATGTGTACACCCATGTTCATTGCAGCACCATTATTCACAAGAGCGAGCCAAGCGGTACAAATAAACCAAATGTCCACTAAGAATAGATAAAACGAGGTACCTACACATAATGGGATACTATTCAGCTTTAAAAAGGAAGACAATCCTGCCACATGCTACAACACAGATGAACCCTAGGACATTACACTAAGTAAAGTAATAAGCCAATTACAAATGGACAAATACTAAGTGATTCCACCTATTATCTAAAATAGTCTAAGTCATAGAAATAGAACAGCGGTTTCCAGGGGGAGGGGCAGGTGGGGAGTCATTGTTTTATGGGGACAGAGTTTCCGTTTTACAAGGTAAGAGTGAGGAAGATCTGTTGCATGACAATGAGAATATACTGACCTACACACTTAAAAATGGTTAAGATGATTAAGTTAAGCCAAAAATAAAAAAGGAAAAAATGACCACTGCTCTCGAGGGCCATATTCCTTTACTTGTAAAGATGCGCCGCACACCTGGCCACTCATGGTGAGCCCCAATAATACAGTCCAATAGGACACAGGCCTGGGGGTCAGCACTGGGATGGGGCCATGGGAGAGCTAGCTAGAGACATCACAGATGAGCTAGATCTTAAAGGTGAGGAGGATTCCATTGGGGGTGAGAAAGGAGAGCAAGAGAGAAAGGCGAGGCAAGAAAAAAAAAAGATGCACCTGAGGTTGAACTTTCGGGTCACGATACTGGACTATGTTACAAAGCATGTCATACCTTGTGATGGTGGAGGGGGTACACAGGCTCCCTGCAGAATTTCTTACAACTGCATGCACATCCGGGGAAGCAGGTGTTTAAGGGACTAGTCTGACTAGACCATAAATTGTTTAGTTAGTTCCTCACTTCATAGGAAACAAGGCTAGAGTTAGGGTAAAACAGCCTATGGAGGTTAAATTTATTCAAGAATTCAACAGTGCACAGGGAACCACAGAGCTCGGTGGGCAGTAGACCGACAGGATAAGAGGGTGGTCAGAGAAAGATAAACTCATACCCAGTGTGGGCTGGGAGGGAAGCCAGTCAAGGGCCACTGCAGGGGCGGGACAGTGAGTGTGGGCAGCCAGGGAGGCTGTGGGGCTGGAAAGGGACGGGGGACTTGGCACAATGTTGCCACATATTATAAAGGACCCCAAAACCTATCCAGAGACTGTAAATGTAAATGGTCACTCACAACAAGACTTCCTTGTTGACTCATGTATTTACTCTCTGTGTCCAGGTTTTCATCTCAGCTTTCTTTGAAGAGTGTCTTGAACACACAAGGTTTGCTTTCAAGACCTGTTTTTGTCAAAACAGTACTTCTGTTTACTGCCACTAACCTAGACGCGTACAGTCTGTTTCAAGGCACAGTCTGAGGATTCCCATGTTCTCCACGTTAGTGATTGGAATTGACATGAAGGTCAAGAAGCCAGATCGGGAAAGTGGCCTAAGGAAGTCAGTGGTGGCTGACAGTGCACTGGCTGGCAGACACACTGGCCTCTCTTCTTGGTCTTTCTTCATGGGTATGAGGAGCATTAGGCCAGAAAAACACCTAGGAAAACGGGGGCTCCCACAAAAGGTGAGTGGAATTGAAGTGAAAGTGTCCTCCCCCTAGTTATCTTTCATAAATTCACTGTCACTTCTATATTGTTAAGCTTGCTCACTGTGGATATGGGGAAATAAAGAGAATTGCAATTGGCTTGAAGAAAAGGAAATTCTGGTAAGCAATTAAGGCAGAGTGTGTGTGTGTATGTGTACACACGCACACATACACAAACACAGACACATTTTTTTTGGGTTTTAATCCATAAGTTTCAACTCCCGGTGCAAGGTTACCATCAGAAAAGAGGAATCAAATACACAATCTATAGAGGCCCAGGCTGGACCTCCTGCTGCAAGCATTACATGGAGTGACTGACTTGAATTCCTACTCTAATGAAAACCAAAGCCTCTGAGGGAAGTGTGAGCAGGAGCTGGTGTAGCTATGGTACGCAAGAGCTGGCACGGGTCTGAAAATGCCAGAGCCTCAATTCACTTATGCAGGTAGCATGGAATACAGGCTTTTGCTTTTTCATTTTCCTTCTGCCAGGGCAGTAGCAACGGTGCAAATGTAGAAAATGAAATGTTTTACTTAAAGGAACACAGGAAGTTTACGGTTAAAGTGTGTTTAGGCGTTACAGACAGACCTGGGACCCCTCCAGGTTGAAGGTCTGAGCGTTGTGGCAGAGGAGCATGACATCTTTCTCCAGGTCGCCCAGGCTCCGGTACTTATGATTACGAATCCTTTCCTGATGGGAATTTGGGATAAAATAGAGGAAAAGAGGAGGGAGAGAAAAATACAACAGTTATTACTTGCTTCACGAAACCCAGTTTTCCCTTTGTCTTCTCAGCATTTAGCCCTGCCTGGGGTGCGGGACCGCACAATCCAGGGGTGCCATCCAGAGAGCCCGCCCTCCCACGCAAGTGCCTTCTTACGAGGGGGAGGGCGGAGCATAGGGGTGGGAAACAGAAAGAGCAATGGGTCTGCAGAGTATGAAACTTCTTAAACAAAATGCAATATAATAAAACAGAGCTCTCGGCAAGATGTTTAAATAACAGACGTGTAAAGGCACAAGGACATCCCAGTCTTTCTGGTGACAGGCCCTGGATGGGTGTCAGTGGCAATCAGACAAGATGCCACCGCCCACGTCCTATCATTGTTTTAATGAATTTACTTCATTTAAAAAAAAAAGTTTGTAAAAAAAAAATAAAAAATATCTACCTTGATTTTTTTGAAATCCACCGGCTTCCTAATTAATTCATAGTATTCTGGTAATTCTTTCCTTGAAGGTAACTGAATGAAGACTTCACTGAGCTGTCGCCCTGAACTGTAGGGTGGGGGAAACAAACAGACACGTAACAGAGCATGCACTCCTGAGGAAAGGTTCCGTTTCATTTCATTTCAGAGTGTCAGACAAGCACACTGGCATCCCATGCATATAGGTGTGGGCCTCCTTATGCCGAGGAAAAACCCCCAACTCGCCCGGAGACGAGTGCCTCTTCTGCTAACTTCAAAGTCACACTGAAGTACTGTTAGGTCCCCCCTCCTGCCACACACCTGACACGAGAAGTCCGCTGTGGGTTTCTTCCAAAGCAATCCTCTTTTCATTTTGATAGGAAAATTTAAAATGCCCCTTTCAACCAACGTTCATTTTTTAAATGAATAATAATTGAGTTGGTTAAAAAAAACCCCACACACAACAGACTTTACTTCCATATTCCTTTGTCTTCAAATTCACTTTATACTTAGAGAATAGGTGAGAATAGACTCTGGAACGGCAAATGAAATGCTTTCGTATGTACCTGGGGGCGTCTATCTTTTCAGTCCTGTTCCTTCTAGAGTACTTTACACACCTTATTGTTACTTGCCAGAGGAACCCCTTCATCTCGCCTAACTGCACCTTTGTGTGTATGGAGCAATTTGGGCAGAAAAGAACAACCATATTAGCAAGTGCGGATGCCGATGCTGCTGGAACAGTGCTGCGCCCTCCCCCAAATGCACGGTAGCTTTATTTGAAAGCAGATTAGCAACAAATGCTTAGCATTTTGTGATTTTGAGAAAAAGGCTATAAAGTGATATATAAGCTTTCTACGTCATTTAATGTTAGAAACAGACATGGTTAAAAGAACAAAATATACGTAATTTAGATTCACAAGCCTAATATCTGACATGGCCCATCTAGATCAGTAACAGCTGGATATGGTATAGCCATTTTTCACAATAGCCTCGCTTTTCTTGCGATGCCATCTCTCTTTCCTTTGTGAAGCCAGAAATATCAAAAAATAACCGTAAATCACTGCCATGTCAATTTCAGAGGCGATTTTAGCAATGTGCCAGAATGCTAAAAGCAGCAGCAAAGAATGAGTGACAATGTGCTGTTTTAATCCATAGTCCCAGTTGTATAATTAAAAAATAATCATAATGACAGTTATCATAAAAAAGGCATGCGCGGTAACTCAAACGGTTGCCTAGCAACCAGTGGGGGAAAATGCTGAAGTGCAAAGGGGCCTGCATAAATTAACCGAAATCTTCTGTCAAAGGGATGGGCGAGTTTCTGTTTTACTAGGTCACTGTTTTATTTTTTAATGCATATATGGGCTTCATGAATACTAAAATCAGGCGCAAACAAAGAGGTTTAAGAAGACTGTAGTGGAATAGGGAATTGGATTTTTAGATTCTTGTGGTAAGAATCAAGGTATTCTCTCACACACAGACTCACAGCCACTCCTATGCACCCCCTCCCCACCTTCCTGGGTTGAGAAATGCATTTGCACCTCCACAAGTTACACCTCACAGTATGTGACAAAACCCATTTTATTTACTATCGCCTTCAACATACAGCCACAATTTCTGGTCTATTCTTTTTCTACCATTCTGAGATTTTATATATAGAAACATTTTACCTATTTGAAAAGGAATTATTTGAAAGGCGATTTATAGATACTATAAATTTTTCTATTTCTATCAGCGACTTCTTTATTATTAGCATTCTCTGTAACCTAGCAACAGTAAAAAAGTCAGACCTCTTTGCAATCTTGGATTTAACACCTGACCCTCAATGACATCGTCAGTGTCATTTTCTACATTGCCAACAGATGGTGTCATCTTTCTGTTGACACACTATGAGCACATCTCTGCTTTGTACACCTGTGATGGGCACACTCTTCACTTCAGCTGTGCCACCGAGTGTCTGGCACCGCGGTGCGAGAAAGCTCTAACAGGGCCAAAATGGCTCAGTGAGCTTCGTCTGATGTCTCTGTCCTCAGTCAGGTTATAGAAACTCTGGACCCTATAAGGAGACAAGTCCAGAGTTACATGTGCTCATAAGAGAGGGGACTGAATGTTCTGAGACTTGGGGCCAACAGTGTAAAATGAGACAAATTTATTCTGTTTCAAGACATTCCTAGCCCACTTCCTTTCCCCCTTCCTGAGAACAGAGGACACAGGCAAGAGGGGGACCGGGCTGTCGAAGGAAGTCTTCCTGTGGCTCCGTCTGGCTTTCTCAGCTCATCCTCTGTGAACCTGGCTTGCACTGTTGACCTGACTCTCCTGGTCAGGACATAGCCTCTCTCCTGTGTACCCCCAAGTACCATGGCCACCCCCACCCCCCACTTTATGACTAATTCCAAGTCTCCAGAGCTGACCCATCTCTCACTCCGTGGCTGGAAGGGTCTCTATCCTCCTCCCCCTCCCCCC